ATAGATAGATAGATAGATAGATAGATAAATAGTCATAATTAACAATTTTTATTGTGGAATATGGAAGCCCTTTGTAAATGTAAATTGAAGGTTTTTTTTTTTTGAGACGGAATTTCGCTCTGTCACACAGGTCGGAGTGCAGTGGCATGATCTCAGCTCACCGCAACCTCTCCGCTCCCAGGTTCAAACGATTCTTCTAGAAGCCTCAGCCTCCTGAGTAGCTGGGATTACAGGCACACGCCACCACACCCAGCTAATTTTCGTATTTTTAGTGGAGATGGAGTTTCACCATGTTGGCCAGGCTGGTCTCAAACTCCTGACCTTGTGATCCACCCACCTCAGCCTCCCAAAGTGCTGGGATTGCAGACGTGAGCACCTTACCCGGCCTGGAGTTTTTCTTTTCTTTTTCTTTGTTTTTTGAGACGGAGTCTAGCTCTGTCATCCAGGCTGGAGTGCAGTGGCACAATCTCAGCTCACTGCAAGCTCTGCCTTCTGGGTTCACACCGTTCTCCTGCCTCAGTCTCCCAAGTAACTGCGACTACAGGTGCTCGCCACCATGCCCAGCTATTTTTTTGTATTTTTAGTAGAGACGGGGTTTCACCATGTTAGCCAGGATGGTCTCAATCTCCTGATCTCGTGATCCGCCTGCCTCGGACTCAGAAGGTGCTGGGATTACAGGCGTGAGCCACCGCGCCCGACTGAGTTTTTCATTTTTATCCTCTTCTCTCCCTCTAATTATAGAAGAAATACAAATTCCTCATAAAATGTTCATGGATAAAGACAAAACATGGATAAAGACAAAAGTCTGCTCTGTGTAATGACCAGTGACAGAATTTTGGAATGTCATACCTGTTTCTTTCTGTAAATAATTTTTTTATTTCTGAAAAGTACATGGAAATATGTAAAACCATCATTTCTGGGGTGAAGAGCAGTGACTTACGTGCTCTTTTCCTTTTTTAGATCCTGAGAGTCAGACCTTGAAAGAACACTTAATTGATGAATTGGACTATGTATTGGTCCCCACCGAGGCCTGGAATAAATTACTAAACTGGTACGGCTGTGTAGAAGGGCAGCAACCCATCGTCAGAAAAGTGAGTTATGTGAATTGTCCCACCTGCTCTTCACTGTCTGCAGGTGCTTTCTGTTGGACACTGACTAGTGTTTGCTAGGAAAATGAACATACCTCAGTGGTTGAATAGTGATGCTTGAGGCCTTGTTTCAGGATCTCTTTTTTTTTTTTTTTGAAATGGAGTCTCTTGTTGCCAAGGCTGGAGTGCAACAGCACGATCTTGGCTCACTGCAGCCTTGCTGCCTGGGTTCAAGTGATTCTCCTGCCTCAGCCTCCAGAGTAGCTGGGATTACAGGCGCCTGCCACTATGCCTGGCCAATTTTTGTATTTTTAGTAGAGAGAGGGTTTCGCCATGTTGGCCAGTCTGGTCTCAAACTCCTGACCTTGTGATCCGCCTGACTCAGCCTCCCAAAGTGCTGGGATTACAGGTATGAGCCACCACGCCTGGCCTGTTTCTGATTCTCTTTAGGAAATTGTGGTTGTGAGCAAAGTTGCTCATTCAGGATGTTATGAGTGGCCTCTGAACATCAGAGCTGCCCAGTGGCTTGGAATGTGCCCAGCAGTGCTGTGAGAGCACTTTCTGGAAAATTCTATGAGAGAAAGTTCACTGGGGGCATATGGACATAATTAATGTCCTGCGTCTTGTTTATCTTAGAAAACCTTTATGATACTGCTTTTCCCTCTATGCTTAAGAGTCTTTGAGCCAGGTGCAGTGGCTCACACCTATAATCTCAGCACTTTGGGAGACTGAGGCAGGCAGATCACGAGGTCAGGAGATCAAGACCATCCTGGCCAACATGGTGAAACCTCATCTCTACTAAAAATACAAAAATTAACTATGCGTAGTGGCACATGCCTGTAGTCCCAGCTACTCAGGAGGCTGAGGCAAGAGAATTGCTTGAACCCAGGAGGCGGAGGTTGCAGTCAGCCAAGATGGCGCCACTGTACTCCAGCCTGGCAACAGAGTGAGACTCCGTCTCAAAAAAAAAAAAAAGAGTCTTGGCCAGGCGCGGTGGCTTACATCTGTAATCCCAGCACTTTGGGAGGCCAAGGCGGGCGGATCACGAGGTCAGGAGATCGAGACCATCCTGGCTAATATGGTGAAACCCCGTCTCTACTAAAAATACAAAAATTAGCTGGGCATGGTGGTGGGCCCCTGTAGTTCCAGCTACTCGGGAGGCTGAGGCAGGAGAATCTCTTGAACCTAGGAGATGCAGGTTGTAGTGAGCCGAGATCCCGCCACTGCATTCCAGGCTGGCGACAGAGCAAGACTCCGTCTCAAAAACAAAAAACAATGAAGAATAGGCTTCTCTCTGATTTCATCAAGATACTCTTGGTCTTAGTGGGTAGAAAATATATATATATTTTTTTTTTGCGGGGGACAGAGTCTCGCTGTGTCGCCCACATTGGAGTGCGGTGGAGTGATCTTGGCTCACTGCAACTTCTGCCTCCCAGGTTCAAGCGATTCCCCTGTCTTAGCTTCCTGAGTAGTTGGGATTACAGGCACATGCCACCATGTCCGACTAATTTTTGTATTTTTAGTAGAAATGGGGTTTAACCATGTTGGTCAGGCTGGTCTCGAATTCCTGACCTCAAATGATCCACCCACCTCGGCTTCCCAGAGTGTTGGGAATACAGGCGTGAGCTACCACACCCGGCCAGAAAAAAGATTTTTAAACTCCTGGTCCAGCACTGGTGGCTTTAAAAATCTGTTCTTTTGATCCCTTGATCAGTAAAGGAAACTGATTATCATGAGTTTTCTGGTTTTTGCTTCTGATAAGATGTGCTTCAAGACTGCCCAGCTGCAAAACCGCTATACCTTCACCCCTGCCTCTTGTTCATAGGTCGTGGAGCATGGCCTGTTTGTCAAGCACTGCAAAGTCGAGGTGTATTTGCTGGAACTGAAGCTCTGTGAGAACAGCGACCCCACCAATGTGCTGAGTTGCCATTTCAGCAAGGCAGACACCATTGGTGAGAGGCTGGGCTGGGGTCCCTGGTATGTGGTGAGAGAGTGTAGAACACTGTGGCTGATGGGAGGGAAGAGGGCATTATTTTTTATATGCCCTCTTTAGATTTGTTCCCAAATCATCTTGAGCTGTGGCTGCCAGTCCTGACCTGGGAGCCTGTTCCCCCAGGGAATTCTTATGGAGAGAACTCTGGGCCTGCTGCTTGCCCATTTGTCTATGATAATGAAGATATGGAAATGTAGATCCAGAGAAGTTTAAAAATAACTTATTTAAAAATCTCAGGCCGGGCACGGTGGCTTAAGCCTGTAATCTCAGCACTTTGGGAGGCCAAGACGGGTGGATCACGAGGTCAGGAGATCGAGACCATCCTGGCTAACACGGTGAAACCCCATCACTACTAAAAAAAAAAATACAAAAAACTAGCCGGGCGCGGTGGCGGGCGCCTGTAGTCCCAGCTACTCGGGAGGCTGAGGCAGGAGAATGGCATGAACCTGGGAGGCGGAGCTTGCAGTGAGCTGAGATCCAGCCACTGCACTCCAGCCTGGGCGACAGAGCCAGACTCCGTCTCAAAAAAAAAAGAAAAAAAAAAATCTCAGAAAGGTTTACAGTGAGCTAGAATCCCACCGCTGCACTGCAGTCTGGGCATCAGAGCAAGATCCTGTCTCTAAAAAAAAAAAAAAAAAACAAATCGCAGCCAGGAAATGGCGGAGCTAGCTTTTGAAGCCATATCTGAGTTAACTCCAAAGATAAGCTTTCTCACTTTCTGTTGTTTTTGCGCTGTAAATGAGAGACAAACGTTAGAGAAGAAGCACAGGGAGACTTTCCAGGCGTATGAGTGCAAGAGGCCACCCATGGGAGATGATTGATTTTAAGAGTTATTGGGGTTAATCCAGAGCACCTATGAGCATCTGAAAAGAAGGAAGATGAGCATTAGTTTGCCATGGCTGTCTTTAGCCTTGCATGTGGACAAAGCCCCAAGTGATATTTCTGCCTGTTCCTAGCAACCATTGAGAAAGAGATGCGGAAGCTGTTCAACATCCCTGCGGAGCGTGAAACACGACTCTGGAACAAATACATGAGCAACACCTACGAGCAGTTGAGCAAGCTAGACAACACTGTCCAGGATGCTGGGCTATACCAGGGTCAGGTAGGAGGGCCCACGCCATTCCCCAGCAGGTAGCTCTGCCCAGGGTGTGTGGCCAGATTCTTTCTGCTTCTCAGCATGTTGGAAATGCAGTGGTTTGAACTCTCCTCATTTGGTTTCCCCTTTTACTCAGGTGCTAGTAATTGAGCCTCAAAATGAAGATGGCACATGGCCCAGGCAGACCTTGCAGTCAAAGTAAGTGAATTTTTTCTCCCTTGTCATAGGCTCACACGTGCAAAAGAGACAGTCTTTCCTAAGGCAGTACTTGTACTAAGAAAAACTGTTCTGATTTAGATGAAAAACGCCTATTTTATATATCCAGAGTTCCTGCTTCTGGATGAAGACCCTGGCTTTTGGTAGTAGGGCGGCATCTAAGGGAAACCTGTCAGGATATCTCAGCAAGGTGGCGAGCTTTTCCTCGTGGAGAATGAGAAAAGGAGGAAGGGATCTGAGGGATCAAGTCTAAGGTTGCTGCTCTACCAAGAGGTTGCTTTGTTTTTGTCATGCTTTTATATTCTTCACCTGTAGTTAGAGGCCTTGATGGATAAGAGGAGGGCTAAGGCATGGGGTTTTATATGACTTAAAAGTGATAGTTGAGGCCTGAACATGATGGCTCATGCCTGTCATCTCAGCACTTTGAGAGGCTGAGGCAAGTGGATCACCTGAGGCCAGGAGTTTGAGACCAGCCTGGCCAACATGGTAAAACCCTGTCTCTACTAAAAATACAAAAATTAGCCAGGCATGGTGGCCCACGCCTGTAATCCCAGCTACTCCAGAGGCTGAGGCTCGAAAGTCACTTGAATCCAGGAGGTGAAGGTTGCAGTGAGCTGAGATCGCACATTTCACTCCAACCTGGGTGACAGTGCAAGACTCTGACCCCAAAAAAACAACAAAAGGTGATAGCTTGATTCCACCTGTTTCTGCCCAGTGGCCTGTTACTCTTTGTTGCCCTGGGAGCTTGCTGGGTGAATTGTTCAGCTACAAAACTTGGACCAAAGACACATCTGTCTCAGGAGATGTTCATGTGGTATGTGGAACTGTGCATGTTCCTAGAAAGGGAGATAAAGAAGTGATGAATTTTCCTTATGGTATAAGTTTTGGAAATTATATCTGTGTTCCAGTAGTTATGGGAACAATGTTGCGCTCTGTCCTTTTCCTTCTGTCAGGCCTCGGACTGTGACCATTACATAGTAGTGGAGCTCCTAGCTCATTTGAGAACCATGAAAACTGAGTTCTTAAGAGAAGAAATGTTAGACCCCTGGAGTTCAATCATGGACTCCAGTTTAAGAAACCCTGGGTGCCAGTTGTTGACAAGATGAATAAAATCGCTGTGGTAGGCATAGCTGTGCTCATCTTCACCCTGAGATATCCATATCCTAATTCCTAGAGTCAGTTTCAGAATCTCTCACTATGTCAGGTGACATGGCAAAAGGGACTTTGCAGATGGGATTAAGCATGATGGTGAGTGCCTGTAGTCCCAGCTACCTGACAGGCTCAGATGGGAGCATTGCTTGAGTCCAGGAGTTTGAGGCTGCAGTGAGCTGATTCCGCCATTGCACTCCTGCCTGGGTGACAGCAAGACCCCATCTCTCTTTTTTTTTAAAAAAGGCCCGTGCGGTGGCTCATGCCTGTAATCCCAGCACTTTGGGAGGCTGAGGTGGACTGAGCACCTGAGGTTGGTAGTTCGAGACCAGCCTGACCAACAGGGAGAAACCCCGTCTCTACTAAAAATACAAAATTAGCCAGGTGCGGTGGTGCATGTCTGTAATTTCAGCTACTTGGGAGGCTGAGGCATGAGAATGGTGTTTGCAGTGAGCCTGGATCATGCCACTGCACTCCAACTTGGGCAATAGAGTGAGACTTTGTCTCAGGAAAAAAAAAATAAAGGTACAATAATAATAAGCAAGGTTTAAGAAAGTGTCTAATATCTGCAATATTCCAGAGATAAATTCTGGGTAATGCCAACATAGGTGAGGGGGTAGGAATTAGTATAGAGCAGAGAGAGATGAGAATGTCCAGAACTACTATTCTTGGGGATGAGAAAGGTGAACAATTGTAAGTTCATGTAATTTATGGGGAAAAATAAAAATAGAGATCCTAATAAGTTAATGGAACAACTAATAGAAATGGAAAATTGAATGTATAACTTTGAAACATGCTATGTCAGTTAGGAAAGGCTTGCTGGCAGGTAAGAAAAATCTGCAAATTAGCGTATTAAGCAAGATGGAGGCTTACATCTTTTTGAAAAGAATTTGTGACGTAGGCAGTCAGTCCATTGCTGATGTAGCAGCTCCATGGCAATATTAAACCCAGCTGTTTTGTCTGACAATTTTGCTTTACGGTGTGTGGCTTCTACTTCAAAGATGGCCACTTCTGGTCCGAGGTGATTGCTAGAACTGCAGTAATTAGACCTGCATTCCAGTAGCTGGGAGAGGGAAAAGGGAAGGAGGACCTACCGCTTCCTTTTTAGGACATTTCTCAGATATCATACATCAAACCTTCTTTTACATCTCATTGGCTAATCATATGACAATATCCGGCTTTCAGGAAGGCTGAGATGTACTATATAGCAGGACTGCATCATGTGCAACTAAAAATTGGGGTTCTCAAACTAAGGAAGGAGGGGAAAATAGCTATCAGGAGGTGACTAGCAAACTGCCACACCTGCAAAAGGAAACTTAATGGAAGGCAAGAATGAAGGGGGAAAAAAAACTAAGTAGTATGGTAATTAGAAAATGTGTTAGAACATGTGGAAAAGGGGGGAAAAAAAAAAGAAAACCTGAAATAAGGAGGCTGAATTAAATTCGTTTAAGTCTAATAACAGCATTAAAATCACTGTAGGTGAGTTAAATTTACCAACCTAAAGACAAATTCTCAGATCAGACTTTAAAAGACAAATCACACCAGGGATATACAGTGGTGTGTGCCTATAGTCCTAGCTACTTCAGAAGGCTGAGGGAGGAAGCTTGTTTGAGCCCAGGAGTTCAAAGTTACTGTGAGCCATGATTGCATCATTTCTCTCCAGCCTGGGCAACAGAGTGAGACCCTGTCTCTTTTTTTTTTTTTTTTGAGACAGAGTTTCACTCTTGTTGCCCAGGCTGGAGTGCAATGGCACAATCTCGGCTCACCACAACCTCTGCCTCCCGGGTTCCAGCAGTTCTCCTGCCTCAGCCTCCCGAGTAGCTGGGATTACAGACATGTGCCACCACGCCCGGCTAATTTTGTATTTTTAGTAGAGACAGGGTTTCTCCATGTTGGTCAGGCTGGAGACCCTGTCTCTTGGAAAGAAAAGAGTCAGGCATGGTGACTTATACCTGTAATCCCAGCATTTTGGAAAGCTGAGGTGGGAGGATTGCTTGAGGATAGGAGTTTAAGACCAGCCTGGTCAACATAGCAAGACTCCTGTCTCTACAAATTTTTCTTTTTAAATTAGCTGGGCATGGTAGCTTGTGCCTGCAGTTCCAGCTACTTGGGAAGCTGAGGTGGGAGGATCCCTTGAGCACAGGAGTTTGAGGCTGCAGTGAGCTATAATTGTGTACTGCACTGCAGCCTGGGTGACAGAGCAAGAGCTTGTCTCAAAACACACAAGAAAATAAAACAAGGCTGGGCACAGTGGCTCATGGCCTGTAATCCCACTTTGGGAGGCCGAGGTGGGTGGATCACTTGAGTTCAGGAGTTCAAGACCAGCCTGGTGAATATAGCGAGACCCTGTCTCTACTAAAAATACAAAAAATTAGCCAGGAGTGGTGGCGTACACCTGTAATCCCAGCTACTTGGGAGGCTGAGGCAGGAGAATCACTTGAACTCAGGAGGCAGAGGTTGTAGTGAGCCGAGATGGCACCATTGCACTCCAGTGTGTGTGAGAGAGCAAGACTCCATTTCAAAAAAAAAAAAAGAGACCAAACATGTTTAGTAATACATTGTGTGTCAAAGACACAGAGAAGTTGAAATCAAGGGAATGGAAATAGTGGCTGATGCCTGTAATCCCAGCACTTTGGGAGGCCGAGGCAGGCAGATCACGAGGTCAAGAGATCAAGACCATCCTGGGCCAACATGGTGAAACCCCGTCTCTACTAAAAATACAAAAGAATGGGTGTGGTGGTGTGCTCTTGTAGTCCCAGCTACTCAGGAGGCTGAGGCAGGAGAATCTCTTGAACCTGGGTGGCGGAGGTTGCGGTCAACTGAGATCACACCACTGCACTCCAGCCCGGGCGACAGAGCAAGACTCCGTCTCAAAAATTAAAAAGAAACATACATCAAGGGAATATGTTATCGAAGGAAGGTCACTAGTTGGCTTAGAAACTTTTTAAAAACCTACCAACAGGGTCAGTTTTATATATTTATCTTTTTTGTTTTTTTGAGACAAAGTCTCTGTCACCCAAGCTGGAATGCAGTGGCGTGATCCCCTCCCAAGGTGCTGGAATTACAGGTGTGAGCCACCGTGCCCGGCCTATATATTTCTGTTTATTTATTTATCCCTCAACAGTCCTCCCTCCAATTTAATACATTTCTTGGCAGAGAAATGTTTCCATGGATGGATTCCTTGGTTGTTGTTCTTTTTTCTTTGTTTTTTTTTGTTGTTGTTTTCTTTTTTCTTTTTTTTTTGAGATAGAGTCTCGCTCTGTCGCCCAGGCTGGAGTACAGTGGCACAATCTCAGCTCACTGCAAGCTCTGCCTCCCAGGTTTACACCATTCTCCTGCCTCAGCCTCCCGAGTAGCTGGGACTATAGGCGCCCGCCGTCACGCCTGGCTAATTTTTTGTATTTTTAGTAGAGATGGGGTTTCACCGTGTTAGCCAGGATGGTCTCGATCTCCTGAACTCGTGATCCGCCCGCCTTAGCCTCCCAAAGTGCTGGGATTACAGGCGTGAGCCACCACGCCCGGCCGTTTTTTTTCTTTTTCTTTTTTTTTTTTTGAGACAGAGTCTTGCTTAAACCCAGGAGGCAGAGGTTGCAGTGAACTGAGACTTCACCATTGCACTCCAGCCTGGGCAACAAGAGTGAAACTCCATCTCAAAAAAAAAAAAAATAGGAGGCCCCGGGAGATGTTCACCCAGCAGGGTGTGGTGCTGCAGAAATACAACAACATGCTGGTCAAATTCGTAGAGGAGCTATGCCAGAAGCAGGAGGAACTGTGCCGGCAGATCCAGCAGGAGGAGGATGAGTAGCAGCGGCTGCAGAATGAGGTGAGGCAGC